TAAGAGCACTGGCTGCTCTTGCAGAGGACCCTGGTTCAGTTCCTAGCACCCCCATGGAGGCTAACAACCATCCATAACTCCAATTTCAGAGGATCGATGCCCTCTTCTAACCTCTGTGGGCACTGTACAACATGGATGCACTTAAATACATGCAGGCAACATACTCACACACATAAAATAAAAATAATAAATATTTTAAAAACCCTAGAAAAAAGAATTTAGAATGCTTTCAACATAAAGAAATAAGTATATGGAATCATGAGTGTGCTAAATCTAATTTAAAGATTGCATTATGAGGACTGGAAAGATGGCTCAGTGGTTAAGGGCACTGGATGCTCTTGTAGAGGACCCGGGTTTGTTTCCCAGCACCCATATGACAGCTAATACTCATCTGTAAGTCCTATTCCAGGGGATCCAGTGTCCTTTTATGACCTCCATGGGCCTTGCACACATGGGTGAACTTATGTACATGCAGGCAAAACACTCATACACGTAAAATAAAAATAAGTAAATAAAAAATTTAAAACAGAATACATCAGCTATATGTGGTGGTACACACCTTTAATCCCAGCACTCTGGAGGCAGTGGGGCAAGCAGATCTCTGTGAGACTGAGGCCAGTCTGCTCTACATAATGAGATCCAACAGGGCTAGTTGGGCCTACCAGGGGACCACTATCTCAAAACAACAACAACCACAAGATTACATAGCATTTGTGTATTAAAACACTTCATATTTTGATATGTACTCTGTGAAATGCACACTTTTTACTTATTTGTTTATTAATTGATTGATGTCTTTGTATGTGTGTGGTATGTGTGTTTGGGCATGCTTGCTCCATAAGCAGAAATATTTTAACACTTGCAATTTAACACTTGCAATTTAGCCAGAAAAAAATGAAAGAATCAAGGAAGGTGTGGTTTTTTTTTTTTTTTTTCACTTTACAAGTCAATCTTATTTAAATCAGGACTGTCCAACAAAAATAGGTAGCCAATCATGATCTGAATCCTGGTGTATGAATTAAACAACGTTACATTAAAAGCCATGAGATAGCTGTTTTGTAATAAATAAGGCAGTGGCTATTACTCATTAGGTGCCTTTTTAAGATAAGCTATTAGGTCCGCCCTCTCTCCCTTCTTCTTAATCCCAGTGAAGATCATTTTTGTTCCAGGGATGTACTTTTTGGGATTCTCCAGGTACTCCATCAGTGTGTCCTCTCCCCAGGTGATGCCTTTGTTCTTGTTGGCATCTGTGTAAGAGAATCCAGGCGCCTGACCTGTCTTCCTCCCAAACAGACCATGGAGATTTGGTCCAGTTTTGTGCTTGCCTCCCTTTTCCACGGTATGACACTGGGCACACTTCTGAACAAAAATCTTCTTGCCTTTCTCAACATCACCCATTTTTAATTCGCTCTCCGCTCGGCAACACTACGATCACCACCGGCTGAAGCCAGACGTCCCCCTCTCTAAGGAAGGTGTGGTTTTTAAAGACATTAATGCCATTACAAAGAATCCAAGTTGGATCACTCACCAGAACTAGATGGTAAGACCCTATTTCTTTTTGTTTGTTTGTTTTTTTGTTTTTTTGGGTTTTTTTGTTGTTGTTGAGACAGGGTTTTCCTGTAGCTCCAGCTGTCCTGGAACTCACTATGTAGACCAGGCTGCCTTGAACTCACAGAGATCCACCTGCCCCTGGTTCCGAAGCACTGGGATTACAGGTGTGCGCCACCATGCCCGGCAAGACCTTATTTCTAAAGACACCACACACTTTGGACACAAAACACACAGCTAAATCAAGTTAACTAAGCTGAAAGTTTCCTCCATGCTGCTGAAAGGTGCTATGTAAGCTATTAGAGGAGGGAGAATTTCAGCAGTCTTACCCCGTTGAGGACCTTGTGTACTGTGATACCTACCTGCCAGGCAAGATGTGTCCACTAGCAAAATAGTGGCATGATTGTGAGGGGAGCAACCAACTTTCAGATTGGATCTGGGGTCCTCTCTACAGGAAGGACTATATATTGAGTACTATAAACTTGGTCAAAACTCTATGGCTAAGGAGGTCACAGGCCCTAGATGAGGACTTTACTACAGATATGCCAAATAGACATGCAGCCAAACTGCCTTCTAAATATTTATGTTTATACTCTGAGACTTGTGCTGTGCTCAGCCTTGGCCAGAGAAGCCACTGTTTGTTGTGGTTGATAGTTATAGAGACCCATAGCTGGTCAAAGTGTTGGGAATAAGTGACTATTGAGTACTCAGCCTTAAATGGGACATCTACATCACCCGCTCCAAGACACAGAGAAGATCATGGAAAAGTGGGGAGGAAAGATGAGAAGAGTTGGAGGATGGAAGGCATAATTTGAAACACGGACCCCTGGATATGACATGCCATTGCAGGCATGAACTTATAGCACAAGAAAGACATGAAAGTAGAAGGGAAGAAGGGGGTCAGCAGGAAGGGAATAAGAAAAGGTAATGGGGAGAAGAGGAGGAGGAGGAGGAGGAATACGAGGAGGGGGAGGAGGAGGAAGAAGAGGAGGAGGAAGGGGAAGAAAAAGAGGAGGAGGGAGAAGAGGAGGAGGAGAAGGAAGAGGAGGAAGAAGAGGAGGAGGAGGAGGGAGGAGGAGGAATAGGAGGAGGGGGAGGAGGAGGAGGAAGAGGAGGAAGAAGAGGAGAAGGAGGAGGGGGAGGAGGAGGAGGAGGAAGAGGAGGAAGAAGAAGAGAAGGAGGAGGAGAAGGAAGAGCCAAGTACTGTTCATAGGAATAGTAGCAAAGATGCCTTGAGGGCATCTCTGAAATTGGCCAGCCCCTGTCCTTTGCAGGCTTAAGGGTCTAAAAGAATAAACTCTTAAAGACCTTACTTTGAGAAGAGAGCTCCAGGGTGCCCTGTTCATATGAGTTCACCTAGAAACTTGTCTCCTTAAGATATAATTCACCATGTTCAGCCGCCAGGCATTCAGTCTGCTGTGAGTCAAGGGCACCTAGGCTCCAGGCCTTTGAGGACCAAGGGCAGAATGTTAGGTTTGAGTATAAAGTGTCTCCAAAGATCAGAAGAGGTAATTGGATCATGGGAGGGCTGACTTCAATGGATTAACCCACTCATGAGTTCATAACTGAGTAAGGTATTTGGTGTTGAGGCCTAGTTAGAGGAAGTAGGTCAGTAGGAACATGGCTTCAAAGGGTATATCTTGTTCTCTGAACCTTCCTTTTCCCTCCCAATCTCTTTCTCCCTCCCTCCTTCCTTCTCTCTTCTATTCTCCCTCTGTCTCCTCTTCAGTCCCTATGAAGTAAGAAGCTTTGTTCCACCACATATTACACACTATGTTCTATCTCATCACCATCTAAAGACAAAGGAGCCAGCTGACCATGACTGAAACCTCCTTGAATTAGTTACTTTTCTTCTCCCTGTGTCCAAATACCTGACAAAAAGCAACTACAGTGAGAAGAGGCTTATTTGGACTCAGGTTTGAGAGGATACAGTTCATCATGGCAGGGAAGGCATGGACATGGTGGCTTCATGGAGGCAGACACATGCAACAGCACACAGTGTACCAAGAAGCAGAGAAAGGAGATTGCCAGTGCTCAACTGACTTCCTATTTCCCTCTGTTTATTCAGGTGGGGACCACAGTATGTGGGATGGTGCTGCCCATATTCAGGATAGATCTTCCCTCTTCAGGTAACCCTCTCTGGAAAAGCCCTTATAGATATACCCAATAATATAGACATACCCAATAGCCTCATTAATGTCCTAGATATTTTTTAGTCCAATCAAGATAATAATAAAGATTGGTTATCACTGGGCTACAGAGGTGACTCAGAGCACAGGCTGCACTTGCAGAGGAACTGGGTTTAATCAAGATAATAATAAAGATTGGTTATCACTGGGCTACAGAGGTGACTCAGTGGTTAAGAGCACAGGCTGCACTTGCAGAGGAACTGGGTTCAATTCCCAGCACCCACATGGTGGCTAACAACAATCTGTAACTTCAGTTCCAGGGGAGCCAATGCCCACTTCTGACCTCCACAGGCATTTCACAACATGGGTGCATTTACATACATGCAAGCAATACACTCATACACATAAAAATAATAATAAATACTTTTAAAAATGAATAAAATATTTAAAAATTAGTTATCACATTCTGAAACAGTGAGCCAAAATGTCTTTCTTTCCTTAAGTTGCTTATTTCAGGAATTTTGCCACAATGACAGAAAGCTTTCTGACACAAGCCTCTGATGGGATGGGGAAGGCCTGATGCAGATCATACAGAAAGATATCCAGAAGCCCTAGAAGACCATAGAAGGTTGGGTGCTATGACTCCATAGGAAATGGGCTGAATCCAAAGGCAGGTCATGCAGAACTGGATTGGCAAAGGAAAGACTCATGGGGCAGTGAACATGGAGTTATCCATGGCATCGATACTGTTCCATAATTTAATTGAGACAGAACAACTCTTTTAAAGTATGCAACATCTCACAAGGGATGTTCTTTATTTTGGAGTGGGGGGGTAGCACATTACATGGAATTTGGCCAAATGCTGGTTTCTTATCTCCAAGGATTGATTTTAATGGCCTTCCAGAAAGATTTTCACACTACCCTTCCTTGACAAAAATATGTGAGGGCTCCCAGCAGAGAAAGAAACAGAAGCCTTCCTCTGTTTGAAGGTTACTTGACCAGGAGAAAGAAACTGGTCCTGTGTCTTTTTTTTATGGTTGTGAAAGCCCAAGGCAGAAGACTCTAGGAAACCTAGAAGGTGAAAATCAGGCCCAGCCACCAATTGGATAAGGGAGGGACTATTTCAACTTGGTATGTCAGTTTGAGTCACACTTATTCATGTCTTTCCATGTTTACCTGGTTTGATACGGAAGGATGAACATGAACTCTACAAATAGATCAGCACTGGGATAGAGCTCAGTGAGAGAGTATTTACCTAGCATGCATGAGGTTCTGGGTTCCATCCCAGCACTATGATAAACTAAAAGTTAGATCAGGCCAGGCTCACATCTTGCCTCTACCACTGTGCCATCCAACACACCTTTACACACCATTTCTCATCTCAGAATCTCAGGTCATCTATTCATAACCATCTGGGATTGGTTATACCTGCCTGATGCATCGTTGAAGATGAATGGAAAAGTACTGGCGAATCCTGAGAAATGAAAGGTGCTTGCTAAATGATACTGATGTATATTCACACTTTCTCAGTCTGGTTCATAAGAGCCAACTGGTGTTTAAGAATCTGGCCAAAGGGTAGTCAAAGCCTTAGTATTCTGAAATTGGACAATATGTCAGGGCTCTTTTTTTCCTGGAAGTCTGATTTAAAAACCACTGTTTTTGTTATTATTTTCTTTTTCTCCCTTATAGGCTAAAACAGTCTTGTGAGGTAATATCATTCCTAATTTTCTTTCTTTTTTGCTTTCTTTTCTAAGACAGTATCTCACTAAATTGCTCCAGCTGATCTAGAACTCATGATCCTCTTACCTCAGCCTCCCAAGTGCTGGACATTCTCCTTTTCCAGAACAGAATAAATGAGATTTATATTAAATGACTCATCCAAAGTCAATAAGTCACAAACATCCAGCCCCCACCATAAACCTGTACACCTGAGGCAATGTTTGTTCTACGGCAGCAGCAAACTTCACATAGCTTCTGTCTTGGTTACTGGTGTGCCTGTTCCTTTTCCAGCCACTTCAGTGGGGATGTGATCTTCCGTTGCCCCTGGACAACGTGGTTTTCCTTTCACACCGGAAATCCAGGGCTCTCTGCCTACCACAGACAGGTCCACAGAGTCTGGCTCTCTCCTCAAGGTTTCTGATGTTCATTTCCTTGTGTATCCACGGTCATACTTCTGGGCATTCCTCTGTGTAGCATTCTTATGTTAAGTGATTTCAAGGATCCCAGAAACTTACCATCTCTCAACATCCAGTGGAGAGAGCTAGAGGTCAGAGCCCTTATTTCACAACTGAGAAAAGTTGACTTAGCCAAGGATGCCTGAGGAATTGGAGGCAGTAGTAACGAGCTCTCCTTTCACCATGGTGTAGGCTACCCCAACCACTGGCAAAGGGCTGAGTAGCAGCTGCAGCCTCTCTCCTGAAGGAAGAGAAAATGTCAAGAGGTATCAGGACTCTAGCTGCAGGGCAAAAGCTTATTACCAGCTAGAGTTAAGGCCAGAAAAAAAATCCTGCCTCAGACACTAACCACCAATTATAAGCTTCACCCGTGACACTGAAACAGGGGTGCTGTCCACAATCAAAACTCTAAACCCATTCTGGATGAGGACATAGTTTGCATTCTCTGGCTATGAGACGATGCTGAAGTAGATCTGGAAAAATAAATAAATAACCCAGAGAGGTTCTCACTGCCAAATTATTCGAGCTGACATTATTACTGTCACGCCCAGTGATTAAGAAGAAAATAAAGGCTGAGTCCCACTTGTCTAATTTGATTATCAGAGAAGC